CCACAGATGGAGAGGTCAGCTCTGAAACACAGATGTGTGAGGGAGAGCGAGGGGGAGACTCACACGTGTAGCTATTCAGTGTCTCCAAAAACTCCTCTGGACTTGGAGCTGGGCCCTGGCTGTCTCTGGAAGAGACAAATTCACCAATCCTGCTTTGTTTCCAGGATTTACTCGGGCTGCAAATGTTGAGAAAATCACTGGCTTTTGCCATGATGCAGCCACACTGGGGCTGGGAAGCAGGTCCAGATTTCTGAGACACTCTGTAAGGAGGAGGAGGAGGAGGAGGAGGTTTTCAGTTTATGAGACGTGTTCTGCCCCTAAATTATGAGATGTCATTTCTGTGGCAGCAGAGCCATGAACTGCTGTGCCCCGAGGTCAGGATCTGGGTGCCCCAGGAAGGTTTCCTTCCAAGGACGTTCTTTTTGGATGCTGGATGCTCTCAAGACATCAGTGTGATTTCCCCCAGGTCCATGACTGGTGATGGCCACTGCTTTTTTCACAAGATTGCTGGCTGATAACCAGTACCGTGCTGATTTGTCTTGCACCGCCAGCCAAACTCAGTGCTTATCTTTTCCCCCACTGCATGGGTTTTCTGAAATGTTCTGAGATGCAGCTCTGAGTGCAACCAGCCACCAGAGGAAATTGCCCCAGAGTTAACCTTTGAGACAGGCTGAGTGACAAGTATCATTAATCAGAGTAAATAACAGCAAAAAAAAAATGATATTTACTGGGATTTAGCTCACCAGAAGGAAAGGACAGCACAATGTGACACACTGGCTCAGCTCTCCTGTGGGTGTAACTCAGTGCAGCTCTGTAGGGTTTAGCAGATTTGTACCACACAAGGCTTTGACTCTCCCTTAAATTTCCCCCCTTCCAGAAAACTCTTCCTTTTTGAAGAAAAAAAGGGAAGAAAAAAAAAAAAAAGTCCCCTAGTGAGTGTCCAGGCAACTTCAAAGGACCAGAGCCAGGATTTACCCTGGGATAGTCAGAGATGGGGACCTGAGTCCCACTCCAGTTCAACCCAACAGCAGGCAGGGCAGGAGCAGCTCTGCTGGCACCTTCCTGGGCACTGGCCGTGGCTGGTGGTGAGGAACAGATAGTCAAGGGTGGTCTGTATTGGTGGGATGGAAAATAACTCGCTTGCAGAGACAAACACGCCTGCCAGTAGTGTGGGGCTGACAGGAGGGGCCCCTCTCCCTTGCAGCGAGGGGACACTTTAACGGGGCTGAGTGGCTGCTGCAGTCCCAGGTTTGCATGCTGAGCACAGGCTGTGTGCCTGGTGACAGTGACATATGGGAGACAATTAAATAACTGCATTTATGGCCAGGTTAGGGAGAGAACAGTGCCCTTACGAGCTGGGTTTGTGCCGTGACTGGTGCACAGGTAGCTGCACAGCCCGGGGTCAGGAATGAGGCACAATTCCTGCTTGTTTACAGGCTTCTTGTTCACATCTGCCTGAGGATTGCAGACTCTGCCCTGGAACTACAGAGCCCTCTCCATTCCTCAGCCAGTGCAGAGATTTGTTCTTTAGCAAAGGCTTATCTGGTCTTTTGGCTTGGTGGCTGAAGTCTGGATATGTGTTTCATCCTCCCAGGATCTCTGAGCTCAGCTGTCTCCTCGGGCCAAGCCCAGCCAGCTGGAATTCTCCCTCTGTAGGTAGATGGATTCAGCATTCAGGAGTGACACAAAGTGACAAATCCCTCTCTCTTTATGAACTGCATGAAGGCAATCCGCTGGGAGGTCGGGGTTTCACCTGCTGTGGAAGGTGCAAGCCCTTGGGAAGCCTTCCCAAGCCCTTGGGAAGTGGCAGCAGGACAGGTGTGGATGCTGCAGTGACGGGCTGGGATGCTCCTGGTGAACAAGAACCCGCATGGAGGAGCCCAGCCCGAGCTCCCACCCTCCTCCCAGACACCTTGGTCCGAGGAGAGGGGAGGCAGCAGTGGTGGGAGCAGCCCTGCACCATTCTGTAGCTTCTCCCAGCAGTCCCAGGAGCCAAGGGCTGCCTATTTTTAGCTCCCGAGGTGGCTGAAATACCACGGTGATATTCATCAACGGACACCCTGTGGGATGGGAGCTGCCAGGCCGGGGTGGGGGGCTGGATGGGCTGCTTTGTTTTGCTCTCTTTAATTGCTGGCTGCAGCACAGAGGCCGAGCGTGGCAGGAGGTTCAGCTCCTCTCACCTCAGCACCAGCGGAGCGCCAGACCCGGGGGAGGCGCGCAGGGAAAAGTCAATCAGGCAGAATTTAAAAACCTACCTGCTGGGCCCAGGGGGGGCTGGAGATTTTAATGTCATTCCCAGCTTGAGATGCAGCCTGGAGAGTGAGAAAAGAAAGGGATATCTCCTCTTCTTGGATCCGTAATTGCTCGTTAAATCATCTAACAAATGCCTCAGCTCCTGGATGGCCCCATGCTTCTCGACAGAGGGGCTTCATCCTTGGCAGGGGAGAGGAGTATTTTTAAAAACACTCATTTCACCTGCTTCTTCTGGGTCTGTAAAACTAGGAGTTCCACAGTTCACTCTGCAAAATAAAACCAAGTCTGGAATATTTTTATTACCTTTCAGCAGGAGCAATAGACTTTCCTCCGAGCCATTCCCCTGCTCCACAGTCTGTTGGCTCTCAGCCTGCCCTGCAGGCAGGTGTCCATGCTGCAGGAGGGCAGCCTCACCTGTCCCCAAAAGGGACCTGCAGTGACCACAGAGGAGCTTGTACCAAAATAACCCCCTGCCCTACATGCTGAGCCCCGCTTGTGGCCCAGGCAGAGCTGAGGACCACAGCCAGAGATGCCTGTCCTGGTCGCTCCCATTCTGCCCTGTCATTCACTGTTCATCTGTATTTTCTGCTCAGACTCCCCTGCGTTGGGTCTCACTCACGGGGAACTGCCACAAGGCTCAGTGATTGAAAAGGTGAGGCAGCTATTTCCCAGCACAGAAAACACGACAACCGTGCCATTCCCTCTGATGCCTCGCAGAAAGCAGCCCCTGGTTAAATCCACAGGGCTCAGAAGAAGCCCAGACCCTGCCCATAACAGCTGGAGAGCTTCAGATGTGCTTTGCCATTACAGACAGATGGACAGATGTGTGACTTATACCTATAACCCCCAGTAGTCAGGATAGCAGAGAAAGACCTCCTCCTACCTGACTGAAAGCTTGGATGCTTTTCCTGCCCCACCCGTGCCCAGATAACGGGGCCACGCCAGACCACAGCCATTAGCGGGCTGTATGTGTTTAGTGTCTGTGAAAAGAGCAGAACTGCAGCTCCAGCAGGGCATACAGATGATTTATGAATATTCACTGAGCTCACGAAGCACTCCGGGGCAGAAAACAAGCTTTTGAAATTAACTGAACTCTTCAAGGTTCTTTGTTTGTCTTGGCTTCGAGGTGTGAGTCACCAATACTGTTCCTCCGAAACGAGCAGAGTCTCCGAAACGTACAGAGGGCTGGGAAGATTCCTGGGCACTAAAATGTGAAGTTAAGTACTCTGTGAGACTTTATGTTCATAAAGCCTTCAAAGTGGAGTCCACCCCATTAAGTTTTACGGGATACAGCACTGCTGCGTACAGTACTGAGACTTCTTCAGCCCAGAAAGGCTGCGTGTTCAGGAGCCTTGAGGCTCTTTCCCTGAGCACTGAAATGTCAGTTTTTCAGCGATTTCAGTGCTCAGTGAAGAGGAGTTTTGATCCTGGCTGTGCAGCCCCTGTCACACCTTGTCGTATCCACCCATGCAATTAGTGTGCAGTGGTGCTCTTCAGCACTGGCACTCCTGCACTCCTAACTGTGCCAGCAAAGCTGAGCTCTGCCTGCACTCCCTCCTGCCAGATTTGTGTTTCTGGGCTGCCTCTGCCAGTCTGGGTCAAACACCCTGGAAGGTGAGGACTTCCTCCACCTGCGTTTGGCCAGAATGGGCTCCGTTCCTGGCTGACAAGGCACAAGGTAATAAAACAAGCAGGGTGTCTTCACACGTTTGCTGCACACACATAAGGCATAAGAGCTCCCCTTTTCCAGTCAGTTATAGAAATAATAATTGGGTTTCTTTCGGCTTGTAGAAATGGGAGACATTTCTGAAGGAATGAAAGAAAAACTCTGCAGATGCTCCAACACCCCAAGGGTTTCCTGAGTCTGGGGGGGGTGTGGGAGATCCACTTCTTGCAAAGCAAGCAGAGGGGTTGTGAATTTGGGCGTCCTGCTTCTCAAATTCTCAAATGAGTCAAGCATCAGCCACTGTGGACCATTACAGTGGGCTGAACTCAGCTATTCCAAGGCTGTCTAGACATTCCCATCCTAACTCTGAGACATCTTCCAGGCCCAAGTTGTGTCAGAGCACTGTCCTCCAGGAAAAGTTGCTGTTCCAGTGAATCTCATTGTTGTCACCAAAGAAGATTCCATCTGAAAATGGCCAGCTGGCCCTTCCCTCAGTGCCATGCTCCTTAACCGTGGGAGATTCCTCTCCCTCTGAGTCACAGAGCACCACAGCCAGCCAAGGTGGTCTGCATTAACGGGAATCAGCCCTCGTAGCAGGGGGTCATAGCAAAGAACAAGAATTCGGGAAAAGCAATAAACCAGCATCTGGAAAAAATTGTTCCTGGAGTCTTGCTGCCGTCCTTTCCTTTCTGATACAAACCCCTCCTTCAGCAAGGTCCCCCCCCTTGGTTGAAGCAGTTGTTGCAGGGTGTGTGCCATTCTAAATAACTTTGTACATAAATGCATTTCTTTCTGTTCCCAAGAAACTCCCCACGTGGGCACTGCAGACTGCTTTGTCTGCTGGACAGAAATGTTTGATGACATGGGGTGGGTCGCACAAACAACCTTTTTTTCCTGGTGACTTCCTTGCTCCATCCTCCTTTGCCCTTTTTCTGCTGGATCACACGGTGTGGATGCTGGAGCCCCACCCCAGGAAGCACAGCCCCTGCACTCCTGATGGTTTACTGACCTGTTTCTGAAACCTCTGGCTCCCAATCCTGCCTTGAGCATCCCTGTGACCTGTCGTTTCCTTCCTCTGCAGGCTGACGCCAAGATGGTGTGCGATGTCGTAAGTCGGATGGAGGACACAGAGCCCTTCTCTCCAGAGCTGCTGTCAGCTATGATGAGACTCTGGGCAGACTCTGGGATCCAGGAGTGCTTCAACCGGTCCCGGGAATATCAGCTCAACGACTCAGCTCAGTAGTGAGTATCCCTGGCCGTGGTCTGTCCCCTTGGGAAGGTGCATTTGGGCTTGCTGAAGGTTTGACTGAAGTTGGTGACCTCAGAGCAGTGGAAGTGAAGGTGTCTCTGCTCACAGACGGGGATGTGTGCTGTGTCACAGGTTGCTCCATGGCAGAAAGGCTCAGGCAGGACATTCGTGTCCCCTTCTGGCCACTTGGGGGTCAGGTCCATGACCCCAAGGCCAGGTTCCCAAATTGCTCCCATACAGCTCAGGGTAGGTTTCTGCAGATGTGGATGTAGTGAACGAGGCAGATCAACCCATGGGCATGGCTGATGGCTTCCCTGTCTGTCTGACTGTGAACAGAAGACTGTGATCACCTGCTCTGTACAGCTCCTGGGTTTGCTTTTCTGATAGTTGTGCAGTGTACTGATAGATCAGTCTGGTTACAACCAAGGGTGAGGGACCTCTTTGCTTTTCCAGGGGCATTGTGTTACTCCTGTAATACAGTCAGAGGCATCTTTGCCATCAGGGACCACATCCAGGTGGTTTTTAGTGGCAGTTGTCTGGATCCATGGCTTTGGTTCACCTCGTCATGGGGACAGGACATCTGCCCGTAAGTGGCTGCTCTGGCTCTGGAGAGCCACTGATTGTCTCCCCAGCTTCAGTTCATATCCATCTGTAATGATAATTCAGTGGGCCTGTTTGCCTCCCAGCTTGTCATCCCATAACTTGCCACGTCCAGGCTTTTGGCTTTCACAGCATCCCACACCAACAAGTTCACCAGCTGTTTCACGCACTCCTGGAGTTCTTGTTGTGTGTCTGGATCGTTTGGCAACTCTGCTTAGGGTTTTCCTGGGTATCTACCAAAGCCTGAGCCCAGGCAGTGGTGTGGCTGCTGGGTTTGTGCTGTGTGCAGGGCCAGTGGCCAGTGCTGCTCCCCTCCAGCTGGCAGGGCAGTTGTTGGGGAGATGGGCAGTTGTTGGGGAGTTGGGCAGTTGTTGGGGAGTTGGGCAGTTGTTGGGCAGTTGTTGGGGAGTGCAGCTCTCACGGTGCTGCAGCAGAAGGTGAGTGATGACACATCCCTTGGCACTGATGGAAAAACGAATGGGAACACCTGCAGATGTGTGGCTGGTGACACAGCACCCAACCCAACCACCCTCACACCTCAGGGATGATCCTGGCATTGTGCTGCCTTTTAATCAGTACGAGGTGGATGGCCATGTTTAATCTACATTTCATTGCCTGTAATAGCAGAATCAGCCTTCTGTTGACAGCAGCCTTTTCTCTTTTCTTTTTTTTTTTTTCCCCACAAAAGAAGGGTATGATGGCATAAACATACCTTTAGAGATATAAATTATCTAAAATGCCAGTCCTAATTGCATTACAGCCTTGTGGAAAATTCTTCAATTGTTTTAGAGCCAATTACCTTGAGGAAAGTATTTTGATTTTCCTTCCATGCGAGATAGCAGTTGAGAATAATAAGCAGAGCCCTCCCAATGTGACCAGCTGCTGGGCAATTCATCAGCAAGAGCTCTGAAACCACGAGCAGTTCCTACACATCAGCTGAAGAGGCTCTGTGCCGTGGCACTCACAGCAATTGCAGTGTGGGGTTGGGGCCCAGCGAAACGAGTTTTGATGTCTCTGGCACAATCAGTTCCATCCAGAGGAGGATGCACGATCCCCCTTGCCAGGGGGGCTGTGGGCTGTGGCTGGACACTTGTTTTCCCTGGGGTAGGTTGGGTGGTGAAGCTGAAGATGGCAAAGTCCTGGTCATTCACAGCCCTGCTGGTGTTGGCAGCCCCTGGTGCTCCGTCAGTGGGAGCAGAGATGCTCTCCCAGAGCAGGGCACGTCCTGCTGCCCCTCCGTGCCCTGCTGCCATCACACTGGGTGGGGTGGAAGGCAGAGCTCAGCTGGCACTTCTTCACACCCCCAGTGGACTCCTGGCAAAAAGAGGCACATTTTTCATTGAATCCTTCGATGCTTTGAGGTTGTTTTCCTTTGCGTGACTGAAAGATTTCAGACAGTTTTATGGGTTTTTTCCCCCACCCTGGGAAAAGGCTTATCTTTGTTGACACTGATATTGGATTTAAAACACCAACAACTACAAAATGTGTTTTCATTAGGGCTAAGAGAAATAAATTCCAGACAAGAACTGAATCTGAAGTTCCCCAAAGTTTGAAAAGCGCTGCCAGGCAGTGAGCTGGACTAGCATGGCTTTGTTCCAGGCCTCTCCTGGTGCTCAGCCCCAGGGACTGGTGTTTTGCTGGCAGGAGGGGGGTGTGCTGCAGGAATTGGGGGTGGTGCTCCAAGGCTGCTCAGCACATCACAAAGCCCCAGGCACCCAGTGACGGTGGTCAGCACAGGTGGGACCTTCAGCAGTGACACTTCCCTGCACCCCAGAACCCCCTCCACGTGCCCCCCAGCTCTCCCCAACCTCCCCCTGCCCTGCTGGCTCCTCAGACCCCACCTGGGCTGCTCTGAGTCAGTGCTGCTCTTGTTCTGAATTGCTCTTCCAGTGCTTTACCTTGAGGTTTTTGAATGCCTGGGACAATGGGCCTTCTGTCAGGGCCCCTGGGAGAGCCAGTCCCAGGCTCATCAGCAGCCTGCAGGATCAGCAGCACAGCTCTTACCAGTCTGTCATTGGTTTCACTGAAAGGAAATTTAATATTTTCCACTGGACTAAAGCAGTGAGTTGTAGCTCTTCTCTGCCATCAGAGATGGGCAGGAGCACATTGCTTTCTAGTCTCAGATACACACTCCCTTAACACCTTCCTGCAAGGCTTGCTTTATTTTAGGCTCCAAAGTCTGCCTGTCCTTAGCAAGGATTTTATATCTACTGCCAAGGAACAGCAGAAAACAGCAAAGAAAAAACACGACTGAGGAAGAGGGAAGGTTCTGTAATGGACCTCCTGTGCCTTGGACTGCAAACAGTGAAACCATGAGGATGGCAAGAGAAGAGAAGGGAGGAAGATGTAGCAGTTGGTTTCATCTCTTTTGTTGTTGCATTTTTTCATTCTTCCCTGAGGCAAATTTACGGGTGGGTTGCGTTCCACATTCCTAATATCTTGATTATGTTTTTATTCCTATTTTGTCTCCTCTTCCTTTCTTGTCTCCGTGCCTGGGAGCTAAATCTACCTCTGATCATCAAAGAGTCTGGGCACTGCTGATGTCTTTTTCTTCTCCAGCCAGTTTCTGTCTGTGGAAGCACATCTGTGACCCACATTTTGCTTTCAAAATCAGCAAAATAGAGGTTTCCAGCTGGTTTCCTTAATCTCCTACTTTTGTTCAGATTTTAAAACTGCCTTGTGTTTCCTGGCCTCGAGTTCCTAACTAGCCTGGTCAGTGGAGTGCAGCACACAGGGCAGGTCTGATCCCAAACACCCAGGGCTGGGGAGCTGCTCTGAGCAGCCTCCAAACTTCAGGGGGGAAATGGAGCAGCCGGAGCAGCCACACGAGCTCCCATTTTCCATGTGCATCTCCAAACAGGCACAGGCCCTGCAAGATGTGTAGGCAGAGCCAGTTTGCAAGTACACAGACACAAAAAAGCCAGGATCCATCTCGAGTCACTCTCCTCCTGCTTCCAAGTACTTTTGAAAGATCATTTGATAATGCCAGGGCTGTGAAACTGCTGTGAAAATGTAAAATATTTTAGGCCTGCGTTCAACCCATCCATCTTCACACATATCAGAGGTGTCAGGGCCAGGAAGCTTGTTGCCTTTGGCTCTCTCAGTCAGGAGCAAAGGGAGGGAGAGATGCCTCCAGAGAGGGGTACAGAGCTCGCTGCTCAGTGGAGAAGGAGAGGTGCAGTTGTGTCTGCTGCTCTGCCACAGCTGCCCCCAGGCCTGACATCCCAAGCCTGTGCCAAACACCCAGCCCAAACTGGACAGCGCTTTGCTTACTCCATCTTCAAGAACTGCTCTGGCAGAGCCTCATAGAAAAGCAGCACCAAACTCAGAATAAAACACTGCAGTGCCTTCCTTCTCACCCCATCTTGTGTGGGACTGTTCTCTGATCTATTTTCCTTGCAAAGGAATTGTCTTTGCACGATGCTATCACCTTCCCTACTGATACTTACTGCATCCCACGTGCCTGCGCACACTTTGCATCAGAAAAGCAGTTCAGAAAGTAGAGCCAGATGTTGTTGTGATGCGGTGAACAGCTTCCAGATTGAGCCCTGACGAGGCAGCACTGAAAAAGCTGCCCAGAGAGGCTGCAAAATCCCTGTCCTTGGAAATGCTCAACACTGAGCCACCTGAACTAACTTTCAAACTGAATTCAACTTTTCAGTTGGCCCTGCTTTGAACAGGGGGATGGGCCAGATGAACTCCGGAGGCCCAACCCACACTGGCACTCTGGGGGTTGTTTTGTTCCCATCCCTCTTTCTCTGATCCCACCGTGTTTAAAGGAGGGAAGGGTGTGCTGCAGTCTCCTGTCCCAGCCATGCAGCCCTGTGATAACCTCCACATCCCTCAAATCCCACGGCCCAAATGTTTGCCTCGCTGGTGGAGCCAGCAGGGTAAATGTTTAGACCGCTGGACCTGTGGGACGTGGGCATTATGCACGACTGTCAGGACATGAGCCATTTTAACGAGCTGCAGTCGTTGCTGGCACGCTCAGACCGAAGGAAGAAAAAATTATAGGTCAAGGTTTTGCATTAATATTCCCGTCAGGTGTGTAGGTTCCATTTTCCCATCACAGCTCTGGCATTAGAATATGGGTTTCTGCACACCCGTCTCACTCGTGCCTGTCACTTGTGCTCCCTTGCATTTAATTGGAGGCAGCAGCAGCAGAAATGGAACAATCCCATTAATTGGGATGGCTTGCGTTGCGCTGTTTATTGAACAACCCACCTTTGTGTCTTGGAGCCCAATAAAGCAGAAAGGGAAAACACATCACAAGTGTGGAGGTAGGTACATTTGTCTGAATTTATGGTTTCATTTACCCCAGTAAGTAAATATGCCCACCAGCCCTGAATAATTAAGTTCCCCCCTATAATAAGCAAACAAAACAGTCCATAAA